GTATCCTTTATTTACAATATTTTTGTGAACCGTATACAAAATACTGATATACAGTAGAAATGATATACGTTATAGACGTATGAATTTAATATACCATATCACACAGTATGTTTACCGTATACTTTATTGTATTTTTTACTAAACACATTTTGCGAACAGTATACATTATACTGATATGCCGTATGTAAAAATGCGAACTGTATCAAAAATACGTATATACAGTATAAAAACCGTATACATATTTTTTATAGGGCACTTATTATGCATTTATCATTTCCTTGAAAATGTAAAAAAAAAAGCCAAGTCTAAGCTTCGAGGTGACATGGCGTCGAGTTTCGTTGAAGATTTTTACACTATGAGGAATAGCTACAGCGAAAAACAATTCAATATGAAATATCAAGAAATGTTGGACAAGTATGAGCCATGTCGTCTATATCTTGAAAAACGAATTTATCCTAGTCGAGAATCTTGGGCTCGATATTGTATTTCAAAAATATTTACTGCAGGCATAGAAAACACACAGCGTGTAGAATCGATAAATGGCGTTATAAAAAAGCTTGTTGTCCGAGGCACGTTGTTAAAAGAGCTAGTAACAGCCATTAAACGCGAATTAGACAAGGAATCTCATTATACCTAAATTAATGATTTTTATGAATCAAATCTGTCGGTTAGGCTTCCATCAACCTATAACACCATTTTCAAAGAACTTGATTCTGTATTGCAAGCGAATTTATTGGCTATTCTCTTGTCAATTCAAAGAGCCCAAATGAACCAATCGTTGCTTTATCAAGCTAATTTGGTTTCAATTAATCAGGTTAAAGACGAAGAAACCAATTTTAATAACAGCGTATTAGGTATATTAGGACATTCACATGATATACCTCAAATTCGTTTGCGGAAACTCCTTAATGGTATATCTTACAATGATATTACTGAGATTTGGGAAGTATCGTATATTGCATCGAAAACTTCCAAATCACACTACGTTGTTATACTTAAAGATGCGACGTTACTTTGCACCTGTATGTTTATTGTCAATCAAGAAATGATATGCCGTCATCAATTCAGGGTGCTTATTCAGTCAGACAACGCGATATTTCATATTTCACATATTCATACACATTGGTTTAATTTGAGTTCAGATCTGCCTACCAACTCAACGGGTTTTATTACGATTGTAAATGGTGAAAAAAATCATACAACGATACCATTGAGTTACATGAATCAATTAAGAACAGATAACGTATATACTCCAACGATCAGAGAAAAGGTCAATAAAAAATTCAATATGGCGTCGCGATGTCTATAGCTAAAATGAGTATTCAAATCGCTGTTACGGAAGATGTTACGGCTGAATTAATCAGAATTTTGACGCAATTTATTATGAAATATCGTAGAAGTACCAGTTTAAGCATTGAAAAGAGTAAGTATTATTTCTTTCTTGGATACCATAGATACCATATATTGTATAGCATAGGTTTAAGCTTCGAAAATACTAAAAACTTTATTTTTTTTTCAGGTACCGAATCATTACAGGATTTGCAAGGATCTTCTATTCAAGATAATCCTCAACTTTATTTGTTCTTCTGATATATCAAATTCTGAGTATCACAAACCAAAAGGACGACCTCCAAAGCGGTATAAATCGACGGTAGAAAATAATTGTATTACATCAGGAAAACCTGATGATGTAACAGTACAGAAAACATGCAGTTATTGCTCTGGAAAAGGTCATAATATCCGTGGATGTCCAAAATACAAAACTGAATCATCCGCCAACAAAGAAAATGAATACTTAGTTTAGTTGGGTAAGGCGGTTAATAGTGTAATAGTTAATTGTTGTACACTTGCACTCAAATAAAAAATAAACAAAGATTTAGCTTTTGTATCAATTTCTTTTATTAAATGTATAAATTTATTACAAAGTTTTTACATACAGATTAAAAACAATAGTTTCTGCGCATTAAGAAATTTCGAAGTCACGTGATATATATAATCACGTGACACTGGTGCTAACCACCAGTGGTGGTAAATAGCAAACTTCAATTTAAATATATTTTAAAAAGTTTTTAATTATATTTTAATTATAAATACTTTTTATAGGGGTAGCATAGTTATAGGGTTCGATTTCCCACTTCTTGGATCCTGGTTGGTGATCTCTGGTGGTTGATACCCACCATAAAAGGTGATCCTAAACAGATGCCTACTACTTCCTGTCTGAGTGGTCACTACAAAGTATACCACTTAAAGTAAACAATTGTATTATTGTTGCTAGGTAATCGCAGGCTGTAGTGGCTTTTGAGTGAAACTTAGTACCTAAAATGGGTACTAGATAGTTGATGTTACCTGTCGAAAGTCCTTCATGAAAGTAGGTGCTCTCTAAAGATCGTAAAATAAATTGAATACCAGTATCATGCAATGGGTATAGGATGAGTAGGCAGCGTATTCCTAGCTTCAGATCAGCCTTAAAATTGGCCTGATAGGGGATGTCTTTAATAGTAATGCTGTTACTTGAGGAATTAAGTACTCGGTATAATGGTTGCCCATGGAGATGATAGGATACTAGCCCGAGAATGCCTCAAAAAGAGGTAGAGGAAGGTTTGGCCGTAAACACTAGCAAAGTAAAAGGATAAAACTACTACCATTCGATTCGTCTTAATGAGACGATTCTGACAAGCTATGATATATCTTTACATCTTTGTACGATTATTAGATGCCAAGTTATTTAATATATTCTTTATATAACTGTGATTATAAATGGTTCTTTTTAATATAAGATTTTTGAGAATAGGTGTGATAGTGACTATTAAGGTTG